TTCTATACATATGAAAATAAATAGTGAATAGGCACTTCTAAAAAAACAAACCAATATTAAATATTATCCTTATATCCCAATTAACAATTCTTATTAACATTAATTTTTATTAACATTTCCCCAATAAAATTTAATGATAAAGGAAAAGAAAAATTTATAATACTAAATAAAAATCACCATATAACATATAGGTAAATTTCTTCCCATACCTTTATTTAGAAACAACAACCGCCTCCCCGATCACTCATAATATAAATTTACTATATAAAACATTCCTGAAGAATAACTCATGAGAAATTATCATTACATACCTTCCTCATATCCCTACTTTATAAAAAGTTTCAATCTACATAACATTAAATTTATATGAACTACTGACGAATAAGCTATTCTTTTTATATCAACCTGAACTAAACACAGAATTCCTACAATAATTCTCCCAATAATTCTTATACATATAATAACTTTAAAAATAATATATCCGTATTTAATCCCAACTTTATAATATATCTCTATTAATCGAATTTACCCATACCTTCCTATTTTTAATAATACACCGGCTAAAACTATTGACCCATATACCGGAGCCTCTACATGAGCCTTGGGCAATCAAACATAAATAAATAGGTATTTTAATAAATAAAGTTATATAAATTATCAAAAATCCTCAAAAAATAAAATTATACCTATCTATAATTCTCACTATTAATCTAAACTTCACAGTCATGTCTTATATATATATACAGGGTGTCTCATAAGATGGGTCCGAGTCACATTGGAGGTGGAGAATGGATCAAAGGGAACAAAAAATTCTTATACTATTTTGAGATACTCGCTATAATTTTCGAATTAGAAAAGGAAATGTCTAAGTCAATATGCGATTAAGCCGCGCCGCGCGAATTCATAGAACGGCCCCTCGAGCGGTGGCAGCGGCGGCGCGCAGAGGGAAGTAGCGCTTCGTTGCCTAGCACAGCCTGGCATGGCAGTTCTATGTGTTTCACCACATCGCGCCTACATTATCCAAAAATATTATTTTAGCTGAAATTTTCCTTATACATTTCTTATCATTATAAATCGCATTATTTAGCACGATTAAATACTTTTATTATAAAAAATTATTTATTATCCATTATAAAAAAGTTTTTTTTTATTATAGTTCTAAAGTACTTTTGAAGCCATTCTATTTTCATTCTTGAAAATTTTTTTCTATCTCTTATAGTTCCAGCGACATTCGCTTCGAAAGAGAAACATCGATTTTTCTAATAATATTCGGTACAAAAGAGAAAAATCAATTTTTTTCCAAGGAGTGTTTCACCCTTTAAAAGTGCGTATGGGCACATATAAAAAATATGTGTCGCTTATTTTTGTCTGGAGAATAACATACTGCTTATTAAAATCGGAGAAGAGCAGTTGGGTCCTTTTCCTTGTAAGTTACAGATTTTTTTATTGTAATAAACATGGGCATTAAATTTGATGGATAGTTTAATGAAAATAAACTAAATCACTTAATTTTCAATCAGTGTTTTTCAATACATTTAAGTTTTCAATTACTAAATTTAAACATCTCATTAACGTATATATAAATAAGCTTTTTAATGAAAGAAAATTTAAACATTATTCATCAGTGAACATTAAAGATTAATAAAATTTAAGAACGTTTCTAATGATAAGACATTTCCTTTTCTAATTCAAAAACTATAGC